TCGTAACCCGAAATGTTCGTTAGTAGAGGCGTTCGTATCCCGAGGTACCACTGTAATTCATAATTAATTATGTTAATTCAAGATAGATGGGATTTTAACAAAATCTTAGAGAAGTCATGAAATTTATTGTATTTGCTTGTGTTCTGCTAATAGAAATAAGGATTTGTGACTTCCAGACTACCACAGCATATCTATTACAGTGTTCTTCTGTATTTATGAAAACAAATTGGCACTCTGGTAGCGAATGACACAATTTATGCTGTTAATATCAAGGTCGAAGGACTTAAGATTTTAAGTTTACTCAGATGTCATCCTTTATACAAAATAGTTTTTGCTGTACCAAGCAAACGAAATAGGAAACATTTTAAGATGAAAACAATAGCAGCAGCCCCTCCTCCTCCTCCTCCTCCTCCTCCTCGTTCAATACTATTTTACAAGCTGGTACCACTACCAGCATAGACAGGTTTCATGTTCTTTAATTTGCTTGGGTATCCAAGGGCAGAAATATGTTTCAACTGATAAGTGATTTTTGCCACTAGCCTATTTTCGACAGAATTATGTGATGGATAGGGCTTTACTTTGAAATGCCAAAAAATCTTTACTTAGTTTTGTGCTCAAGTTATTGTTCATAGTAAGGTGATTTGGGAAACACAAGCTTGCATATTCAGTTCTCTTTTTCAAATACCTAAAGGCAGAATTATAATTATTCTAACATAACTAAATCAGAATGCAAAATGCAGATAACAGTATATGAATACTCATGTGTTATATTAAAGCAAACTCATAAATGAGATTATGCTCATGTTTGCCCAGTTTGTTTGTAAATGGGGAACAGAAGGCAGGCAACTCAAAACGCACAGTTGAATACATGCAAACATTTTAATAGTATACTCAACTGTACATATATACATACATTAATATCCATCATGCTGTTCCCTTTTGGGGTAAGCAGTGTTACACGAAGTACAAAAAAAGGGAAAAATAAATAAATAAATAAATAAATAAATAAATAAAATAAACATATTCATATGATATCACTGCATATGTTTCTGAAATTGCAAATCATCCTTGTTTCCTCTTCATCCATATACCATTTCATCCCTTGGATGTGGTATAAAAAGAATGAATTGAGAAATCTATGAAGCTGTGTGGGAAAGCAAGCTCTTCTAGCTGTCAAAGCCTTTGTTATGCTGTACGTAGGTACCAGTTAGTTGTCGGTGGAGCTTCAACAGTGAGTTTGCTGTGAATATGAAAGGACCTTGGTGCTTCAGAATAAAAAGGAACAATACGGAATAATATATACAGAATCTTCTGTGTTGCTGACATTGGGGCAGTATTGTCCTGGAAGCTGTGGTATGACTTTTGGGTGTGTGATCCCATTGGAATGGCCAGGGCTGACTGTTTAAAGGGCAGAATTGAAGGCATAAGGCACCATTTTGCCCTTGAAAATTGCTCCATGGGGACATTTTGGCCAATTATTGGGGACAGGTTTTAAGAGGTGCCTTAAAAACTCTGCATGGAGTTTGGCATCATTTTACTTCTCAAACCTTCCCTAACCCCCAGAATAAATAAACTAATAGGACTGGTGGTATAACAATCTTACAAGGGCCGCCAGCAAACAGATAAATAAAGGCAATTCCTTTGTTTTAACAGCCAAAACTACTGCCTTTATTTATCTGTTTGATGGCATTCCTTTGTTGGATTGTTATACAGGTAGTCCTCACTTAACAACCATTCATTTAACGACTATTCAAAATTATGACCATGCTTAAAAAATGACTTGCAACCAGTGCCCAAAGTTAATGATCATCGCAGTGCCCCTGCGGTCACATAATCACGATCTGGGACCTTGGCAACCAGCTTGCACTTACAACAATTGCAGCGTCCCAGGGTCACGTGATTGCCATTTGTGACCTTCCCAGCCGGCTTCCAGCAAGCAAAATTAATGGGGAACTTCCTGATTCACTTAATCACTGCATGATTCACTTAACAACCGTGGTGACTTGCTTAATGAACGGCACAAAAAAGGTCATAATATCAGGTCTGGTCATGTAATGATTTGCTTAATGACCGCATTACTTAGTGATCTAAATTCTGGTCCCAATTGTGCCCATTAAGCGAGGACTACCTGTACTACTAGTTGTATTAGTTGCCTAGCTCATTCTGGGGTTTTAAATAAGGTTCTGAGTCTGAGATTCCATTGGAATCTAAGTGTTCATATTAGTGGTTGCTTTTCCTTTGAAAAGTTAAGGCAGCAAAAATAAGGTTCTCCTTTAACATCTCCACAACAATAATCCTGCGAAGAAGTGTAGGCTAACTTGCCTGGAGTCCTCCAAGTGAGCCTTGTGTTTGAATGGGGACTTGAACTCAGATCTTTTCTGGTCCCCGTTTGGCCTCTTAACCCCTGTATTCCATTGCATGTCTGCATTAAAGCATTACCTCTGTATCAGATGTCTGCTCTGAATAGCAATATATTTGTACTCTTCCATCTAATGGTAGTTGGCAAAAGATCCAGCATTAGGTACAGTCTTGCCCTACGTTGAACAGTAGGTCACCAGTGCTCCTGTGCTCCGCTACAGCTTTTGGAGAAGATGATGGAGGAATATCTGACTTGTCTCTGTAGCTCCTTAGACATTGTCCCGCTAGCCGTTATCACACAGTGTGAGATTGCACAGATGTTTCCTTGAAGCTATAACTAGATTTGTGTCTTTTCGCCCAGTATGCTGTTGGAAGTTTGGTAAAGCAAACATCTGTTTATGCCACAAGAGCCGTTTACAGAATAGGATTGGCTCATTCTATTCTCCACTTTTTTTGCTCTTCCTTATCCTGATTCAGACTATATTTTTCTCCTATCCAGTGTCTTTAGGAATCAAACCTAGAATAGAGTCAGGAGAACAATTTCTCTCCTGTTGTGAACCCTTTGGTGTGATAATTGCAAAAACAATTATCTTGTATTACAATCACCTTGTTTTTAAAAGGTGGGAACACAGAATTATATATAATAGTTAATTATTTGTTAATTATAAAATGAACATAATGCAACTTTTTATTATGACTGGCATTCAGATAGATACACTTAATGAAAATAGAGAGCTATTTAAATTTTAGAGTGAAAACGCAATAAAAGTACTGCTGCAATTTAGTCTGTTTGCTGCAGCTGTCAAACCTCTAGCAAGCTTTTCTCAGGGAAAAAAAAAAGCAGTTTTGTGAAAATGTATACCTAATGAATTCTTTGCTGTTCTTTTTGCATGCACTAATACACACTGTATTCTTAATCAAACAAGTCCCCTTGTTTATATTAAACTGTTATGGATATGTGCAATTAAAGTATCTGCTTTTATAGTTTTTTATAGGACTTGCTTGTTTATGAATATTTCTCTGTTTTAATTTTAGATATCTTTTAACAATTTACTAACTACTAAACACTTGGTGGATTGTGTGAAATGCTTCAGCTTATTTACTGTACTTTTTTGTTTTTGTTTTTATTTATTGCTATCACTTCTCTCCATTGATCACTGCATGCAGATAATTGGAAGTAAAGTTCCGGTGAGTATATTTGTAGTCTGTCATAACTTCAAATGCATGAAATAACACCAATAAAAATATACAGATTGTATGCCAGTATTATACCTGATATTGACTATTTGCATGTCTCTCTAATTTGATGTAGTAGATTCATTTTGAATGTAATTCTGGCCTATACATTTAGGATAATGAAATTAAATTTAAGTATTTTTATTCCAAATTTCCTATGACAAATGTGCGGTCTCTTACATTCAGATGAAGCCTTGAGAAGGAATAATTGAGAATTTGATGAATTGAGAACGTCAGTATTAATAAAAATCAGTTCTATCCTTAAACTGACTGATTGATCACTAACAAATTGCATTTCTTTCGCTATTCATGGTGTGCTAATATAAGAAGGGCCTACATATTGTAGGGGACGCAAATTTATTAGATGTAGTAGCTGTGAGACAAAATATACACACTTCTGTTATATCCCAAATCTTGGTAAGGAACCTTGTGCCATGCATGGGTGCATTTCATAGCAATTGAGTCATTTTAGTCTTTGATCCTAAGATTATAAGCAAGGCTAGAAAAGTAACATAGCATCCAACATGACAATTCTCAGCATCCTTACCATTGCTTTTGTTTCTTAGGTATGTAGGTATTTGTAGTTCAGTAACATCAGCGGTGTCACCAATTGAAGTTGTTGTAAGAGGCGTTCTGTCTTCCTTTGTTTCCAGATATTAGAGACTACTAGTCTACTTCATTCAATTGTGCTTCTTGCTGGTTTCCTATCCCCCTCCCCCCCAAAAATGGCATGCATTTATGCTTTTTGGTAACTTCCAGGCTACTGTATTTGTGAATCCCTGCAAGGTACCCTGGGAGATACAGTGAAACTGATTAGAGATGCTGTAACAACTGGCTTGGCCCTTGCAACCTTCAAGTCTGGCTACTCCAAATAAATTCTGCCCACCCTTCAAGTTCTAATAGAGAGAGGATGCTTCAGATACTGCTGTGTGGGAGGTTGACCTGGAAAATTATATTCTCAGTCATAGCTTTTTTCTCTAGAACAACTTTGAGGTTAGATCAGCTGCCACTCTTTTAGGTTTTAGAAAACTTTTGAAGGTAGTTATTTTTTAAAAGAGTTTTCAGTTGTTAAGGTTTTGATCAGCAATAAGTTACATCTTTTATCTCATTAATGTTTTTGATTGGTGTACTTGTGTTTTCATTTTTATTGTAAGTCACCTTAAAGCACTTTAATGGAATATTAATGTGGATTAATAAATAAGATAAATTAGAGTATTAAGCCCTAAGAATGAAAGCAGTTCAGCAGTTCCAAGAAACAGTCTGCAAATTAAAATGCCAAAGTGATGGTTGGACTGTAGTGAATAATGAAATAATTTTTCTCTGATTTTGAAGTGTCACAAAAGCTAGTTTGAGAGTCAATGCAACCGTTAGAAATATAAGCATAAGAAATATAGATCAGAGGTATAGTCACAAGATTTCAGTCTAAACATTAAATTTTGAGAAAGCTGTTTGTTTATAGACGTCTGCACTTACACATTGTGAGTTCCCAACAAGTTTAAGTAGGACATCTTGGAAAATGGCCATGGATAAAGAGAAAAAAGAATAGACTGGCTTGCTTATCCAATTGCTGGTAGTGGATGTGAGTCAAAGCAGAGTTATCCCCAGCTACCATAAATGGCACTTTATCTAGTAACACAGGAATGGATAATCTGTAGGCTACTTATAGTGCTCCCTTCCATGCTATACTCTTTAAGTTTCTTCTGTTTCTTAAAAAAAAAAAAAAAGGAATAGAAGCAGGAGGCTTATGGACCCACTTTCCCCAGTCTCCAATAGTCCAAAATTGTGCTTTGGAATGGTGGGAATGATTGTCTCCCAGAGACTTCCCAGTTCTCTTTCCTACCCTTAAATCCAACCACCCACCAAAGATAAAATTCAGTAAAAAATGGTATCTCCCCTAATGGAACATCATCACATCCCTGAAAACATCATGCCACCATGGGTGGTTGAGGAAGCAAGTTGTGGCCAAAAAGAAGTAATCCATTCCTATGATAGCAAATTAACTCTTCTGATCTATTCAAACAGAGAAAAATTGAGTGCTAATTCAATATAAGACAAAACATGGATGACTAATCTTTCCCTTCCTGACCAATATGTACATTAAAAGAGAACGTCATAAAATACCTTTGTAGTTCTAGTCAACTGTATTAAAGAAAGAAAGAAAATACCTTTGAACCCCAATTTGGGATGGCAGTGAAACTAGAAACTGTATCCACATTATGCTTGAAAGTATAATTTATCATGAACAAGGACTGAATGCAAAGGAAGAAAAATAAATCAGTTGAGTATAAAGCTTCTTAATTGCTGTTAGTTGCAATATTAGATTTACTTCTCTACCGGTATGAATTACTTATTACCTGTTAATTTATTGTCCCTCTTGAGCTTGAAAAGTTGGGCGTATTACAGCGAAAGTTAAGTAGTTTAAATTGGTAAAATCCATATTTTACACAGTTTGCACAATTATCACAGTGAAATCAGTGGTGTATGGTAACTTAGCTCAGCTAACTTAAGTTAGATTAAATTAGTTTAAAATTTAGATTTATATTCTACCTGTCTTCCAGGAGCTCATAAGGTATGCACCACTTTCAATTTTTCTTTACCACAATAACCATGTGTGGTGAAATGGGCCGAAAGAGAATGATCAGCCCAAAGTCAGCCAGTGAGCTTCACTGGCTCCCCCAGTCCTAGTAGAATAGCTTAATTACTACATTTAGATGGTATGTCTACATCTTAGTGACTCTAGTTCTTGCCATTCTGTAACTTTAATCAAAGAGTAAATAATTGGAATGAAACAAATGTTTTCCACCCTATTAAACAGGAATGAGGATAAGATGGGAACCGAGGTCATCCCATTGTAGCCTGGATTCATTAGGGTGAGGCTGTACTTCCAGTCTTTTGCAAATATCATTTTGTAGATGCACTAGTAGCCCCTTAAGTGGCTTCTTTTTGAGGATCGCTTCCTAGAAGCAGACCAACTACGGAGCCAGCATTTGAGAACCAGCTTGTAAATGGCTCTTTTCAGTCACCCATACTTTTCTATTCTTCATGAGACCATATATCAGTTATGGAGAAACATGGTACTCATATCCTGCTTGTGGCTTCTTTTAGGCATCTGATTGGCAGTGGAAGGAGTAAAATGCTGGACCACATTTATCTGAACAGCATGGCTCTTATGTTCTTACAGAATCTATGAGTCATCAGATTCTTGGTAACATCTCAATACAATTTATAGTTTCAGTAATATTTCTTAGGTGGCACAGTTGACAGATGATCAAAGGATTCATCTTTAAAATACCTAATAGCAGGTATTTTGGGTACTCAGGTGTAAAATCTGACTGAGAAGTAGGTCAGATATTACTGCAGATATTGACTAAGATCCAGAGATTTACACACACACACACACACACACACACACACACAAAGGTTAGAAGTGCCAGCATTCTCAAAAGTGATCTAGCGGAAGCTGTGCAGTGGTTACCTGCTGCCCCCTCTGGCAACAAATTGTATTTGTGGTGCTTCCGATGCTTCTTGTGAAGTTGTTATTTTGTTGTTGTTGGGGCATTGAAGCTGTAATATATAAGAAATAACCCAAACATCACTGAATACTAAAGGTGCTGCTATTGGGGAACTAGGTGTACAAGAATCAATATTATTGTATAATCTTAATTCCAGAAATACTTAATGAAAGAAAATAATTGTTAATGTTCAATTAATAATATTGATGATTGGGTGTTCCTGGGATTTCCCTTCTACCCTATTGGTACCTGGATTGTCTCTAATATGTGGCACACATCCACTTAATATGTGGCACAAGCTAAACATTTTGAACCCGTCTGCCCCAAGCGAACAGTAAATCTGATTGTCCCCCTCCGCTCGGTCAGTGTGATTGAATTCCTGTGGCTGAGCTATGTAGGAGGCAAATGACGATTAAAGAAAAGAAAAGAAATTGGCAGATGAGTTCTTTCAGTTTCTTTCTTCTCTCTAAAAAGAGAGATAAAAAGGTCTGGAACCCATACATGTTGGGAAAAAGAGATAGTAGGTACAATGAAATAAGTAGGGAGGAATTCTTATTTTTTGTTTTCTTTGTTCTGTTCCCCCGGGCTGTGTTATATTTTACCAGCACTGGTATTTCATATTATTTTAGGCCACTTGGTTAAGTGAGGTTAGAAGGTTATTTTTTATGTTCTGGGAAGATGGGTTAGATTAACATAACACCTATTGCTGCACTTTTATAATCCCATTTACAGCCCCCAAGTCCTCAGAAGCAATCATAAATGGAATTTAGTGACGCACAACAGAAAAAGACTGAAGCATTTATTTTAGTAACTTGAATTAGAGAAGTTATACATTTTAATAATAATGAAGATAGTTCAGTGGAGCAGTTGGAATAATTTTGAAATGTAGCTCTTTAATTGTTTCAGGGTTTTTTATGTGAAACTTCATGCTACGAAGAACTTAAGAGATGTAATGTACTCGAAAGGTGAAATATTGTGCAGTAATATAAATATTTTTCTTCCTGTGTAAAATAAGTACTGGTCTTTGCATTTTTGTACATTTCATTAGAGATAAGCAGCTAAGTAATAAAATTGGAGGTTGAATCATTTTTCATATTCCTTATATCTGAATCCTGTATTAAAGAAACAGGTTCAAGCTTTAGCATTTTATATTAGCATGTCTATAGCAAAAGAAGATGAACAGAGTTATACTGAGAGGTGGCTGCAAGCAAAAATAAAATTGTGAGACAGTAATCCTGTTAAGAATTATCCACTTTGAACTGTGGCTAGAAGTTGGGAATAGGTAGGTGAAAGGCTTTGAAAATGGATTTTGAAAACCATTTTTCAAGAATATCAATTTTGAAAGAACTGAAATGCTTGAATTATCACTGCATATTTAAAAATGGCATAATAATTGGAAAGGTGGCAGTGATTTGCCGCAGAATGCTGTTTCCTTGTTTC